ATGTAGACATGATTACAACTTCCAAAATGAAAATATCTCACGAAAACCTGGGCCGCCGCCATTTTAAATTCAAGTACGCAGCCACGCCTACCCAATCTCAGGGTTTTCGAGTATACGCGCCGTTAACACGCCCGGACTGCCTTCAGTGATAATTACTGTACATAGATTCTCATAACGCTCTGAGACAACACAATGTTAAGGATACCAATTAGCCTCAGCTCCCTATTTTCATTTGAATAGCGAAGAAACAAACCGAATAATGTGAAGCAATAGATGTGTAGTTCTCTGCGGACGGTTGGGCGTGTCAGTGCGGCTGCGTTTGGCGCGGTGCCAAACTCGTTCTCCACCAGTTGTTGAAGCGAGCAAGTGACAAGGATGTCATATCGTTCGTATTACTCGTTTTCTACCACTTTTTGTCGCATGCGCGCTTCAACAAAAAGGCAGAGAACGGCTTTGTTGCTGTGCACACTCATTCTGGCTGACACGCCCACCGTCCGCAGCGAACTACAGTTTAACAAACTCAGGAAACAGTCAACATTTGAAAATTCGAATGCTGGAGCGTGTCAGGCTAGGCGCGGCGCGGCGCCAGCACGTTTTTCACCAACTGTTGTCACTTTCCCCTGTTCAACAGTTGGAGGAAAACAGGCTAGCGTTGCACCATACAAAGCCCCCGTGACACGCCACAGCAGCGAAGAAGACTATGAGTATGGTAATCTTTTATGACGACTCTCCAAAAAATTCACTAACCGCATGAAACTCTCCGGGCGAATCGTCCTAGAAAGAAGCTTGAAAATTGATGATCCCATCATAGTAGCCACCATGAAACTAGCAAATATGTAGCCGTGAGGGATTGGAGCAAATGTAGCCTAAAAACTCCGTGGAGAATAAGATCTCCGTGAGAAACAGGAGAGCTCTTTTAATCTACCTCACCTTAGAAAGAGCCGGTGTCCATTCTAGGACGAACGTGTACATGGCTCCTTCAAAAAGAGATTGGACCAATCCCAAGCAAAGCACGTTCACATCTGTAACACCAAGTATTAGGCCACGTTCGTGCTCCGCGGATTGAGTGA